GTATTTTTGGAAGCAGGCAAGATGAAAAATATGCAACACCTTCACCGGGAATCGACCCACGGTCCTCTCAATTACGCCCTGAGCATACAGACCACTACACCACAATGGCTCGCTAAGAAGGCGGGAGAAATACCTTATAAGGTCAATAACCCCCCCCCCCCCAAAAAAAAAATCAAAAGCCCAAACTGAAATAAATTTAGAGCAAAAGTGTATGCAATAAATTGAGTAATGAAACTCAAATATTTTTCTAAGTAAATTAAATTTAGTGCTGAAGGTAGGTATTGAAATTACTGTTGAAAAATACCTTGGCCACCAAAATATATATATGCATATAACAATGAACAACAGAAAAACAGCCTGAATTTGGATAAGTCATAAAGCAGTATATTGCAGCTTACTGCAGTTACTAAACAAATGCACAATAAAAGAATATTTTGAATACAAATCATAATTTTCAGCATAAAGATTATACAAATTATAGTAGTCAGTATTTTGCTAACTTCAATAAAAATATTCTGATATATTTATTTATATATAAATACGTAAAGCAATTATTGCAGTCTTGATTTTGCTACACAATAATATATTTATGTGTTTTTCAGATGTTTACATTCTTAATTTTCAGAAAACAGTATTCCCTACTTTGAAGTTAAGAAAACTGTTTTACAAAATTATATCATTTTGTCTACAAAAGTGTTTTTAAGACAAAATGATATACATTTTTTTAAAAAAAAAGATGAATTTATATGGAAAACCTTTTTAATATTCCCAAAATTTTACATATTAATTTTGCTATACAAAAAAATACACAGAAAGCAAGACAACACTAAAAGAAAAGAATGATAGAATACACATGGAACTGACACATTACAGATATCTCTACACTTTCAAAATCAAAAAGCACCGAGTTCACTTGAAGGTTTAGAGGTGATAGCAGAGAAAATGAAGTGGAAAACCCCTATTTTCACACATGTGGTAAGTAGGATATATTATATAAGGTACGGTCATAGGAAAAAGAAGGCTAATACCATATATTAACAAACTATCATCATTTCTATTCACCAAATCCTTTATTGGCTATAGTTCCTATATCTGGTTATTCCATCCTGAAAGTCACTTTTTGTTATCTGCTCTAGTTGATATAAAAGAACGCTTGAACAATAACTGTATGTTGATTGCAATCCCTCATGCATTTTCTCCCCTCATTACATAATTTTTCTTTGCTATTCAAAACTTCCAAAACTGCCTTACATCTTCATGTCATTTGTAAATAACAGTATACTTTTCTTCAGAAACTACATCATAAAATGACTGAAAGATATCCTTGAAATACATCTTCCCTTTTCTGCATAAAAAGTAAAAATTATTTTTAGATTTCTATTGAAAATGAAAAGTATGTACAAACATTAAATCTTTCTTAAGAGTCAAGTGGAATAGAATAAACTTCTGTTAACTGGAACATACTGGTATATTTCTATAGTTAACAATGTTAATATATTTGTAACTTTCTTTCATACATATTTGTAGCTGAACACAATATACTTTACAATTTGCCTTATACCTCCTTTGTTTCAACTGCAATTCAAAATTTCATGAAATACTTTAGAAATTAATAACAAATAATTAAAATGCAGTCAACAATACACTCATTTACAATTTTTTTTACATGTCTAACAAACTCTCAACGTACCCACTTCTGCTCATGAGACAGATATCTAATGATTTACTAGGAGGATTTATCTGAACATTTGGGAAAGCTAACTGATGCCATGCTTGATGAAAATAGTGATGATTATGTCTTTCAACATGATAGCTGTCTAGCTCATTATCACAAAATAAATAAATAAATAAATAAAGTTATTTGTAAAAGCATTTCAAACAAAATTCGCCTCAGAAATGGAGAGAGCACACAGGGCATGGAAATGATGAATTATAACTCAAGCCATCGTGGTCTCAAAATTTAAGCCTGTCTGACTTATTTCTACAGGCATTTGTCAAGAATATCATCTTTGTACTTCCACTTCCTATTCATTTCTAAAATCTCTTAACCACTTCGCTAACTCTGCATATCTGGTATACTGTGATTAACTGCCATGGTTGGAATAGATTATTGCATAGATGTCTTCTATATCAAAAAAGGTAATAACTTTGAACATTTGTAAACTATAACTCCCCCATCCCAAAAAAGGAAAGTTTTTTTTTTTTTTTTTTATTTCAGTCTAATAGAATTTGGAATTGGTTGTATAGTTTATTTGCTATGAATTTTTAAAATGTCTGTTAAAATATCTGATGAAAGGGCAAAACTCTAAACAAAACAGAAACAAAAAGTAATCAAAAGCTTCAGATTCCAATCTTTATTTAACTCAGAAAGTGTGTATTTTCATCCTGCTCCCAACAGCTGCTTTTTAGATAACATTAAACTCTATGCTTTCATCATTCAAACAAAATCAACTTTGAAAACAATATAAAGGAACCTTCAATTCTTTGTTTAAAAAATAATGCAAAAATTTACATAAAACCATTACTGCTAACCTAGTTTTGAAGTATAATGGAAAATAAGTTAACCATGCATACAGTTTGATATATGCTTTTGTGTGCAGATGCAATCACAGAGTATAATTATATAAATAACTCAGTTCATTTGAAAACTGTTTGGTTTTCTCTGCTAAGTAAAAACATTCAATCTATTCTTCATTTATATGTGCAATGTAAATATTTACCATCTTGCTTGCAAATATTTGCTGTAATTAAAATCAATTACAATAATAATTTTAATAAATACTAATATTATTGTATATTAGTATATTTTCGTTAAAGCCGTTTTTTCAACCACTGTAAGTTTGAAAAGTAATTAGATTTTAATAAAAAGATTAATTGAATTTAAATTAATTTTCTCATTAAATGAAATGAATGAATTTAAACTGAATTTTGTCAACTTTTATTAACATTTTTCATTTATTTATTGAGAAAATCCTAAATTTACTAAGCAATTAAAACAGTAGTTTAAAATAGCAAAAATTTGCTTAAAAAGATACACTGCTCGACATTTAAAATGCAACACCAAGAAGGAGTGGTCAAAAATTTATGCAAATTTTAGAGTAGATGCACATCACTGAGTTATGTGAATGATGTGAAATGTGCAGCTCTCCGAAGCACGTGAAGTAAGATATACGGGAAGGAACGTGAAGAATGGGCAATATTCGCATCGTTATTTCTGCCAGACAAATTATCGAAGAAAGTTGGTTTTTGTCCTGGAGGATACGTATAATAGGAGAGAATGCCAAACCGCCGTCAACAAAGGCACTTCCAGCAGATAGACGATTTTACGAGGGGTATGGTGATCGGACTGAGAAGAGCGTGATGGTCCTTATGACAAATCGCAGCTGACACCACCATGGATGCGAGCACAGTGCATCGGCTATGGCAAACACAGCTGGAACAAGGAAATGTGGGAAGAAGGAGGGGTGCAGGTGCAGTCAGAGTGACGTCAGCACGCGTGGGTCAACACATCCGCCGACAAGCTGTGGCGGTCCCACAAGTCACTTGTACTGCGATTCTGCAGCATGTGCAAGATACCCTGAATGTTCCCGTGTCAACCAGAACCATTTCCCGCCAATAGGTTGAACGTAGCCTGCACTCACGGCGTCCGTTAAGAAGACTGCCATTGACCCCACAGCATAAACACCAATGTTTAAAATTGTGCCTGACTGGAGCGATGTGGATGACAGAATGGCATAATGCTGTGTTCTCAGATGAGTCCCGCTTCTGTTTATCCAGTGACAGTTGCCGCATATGTGTGTGTGGTGTCAATGTGGAGACAGATATAATCTGGAAGTAACTGTGGAACGCCCCACTGTGCGATAACATGGCATAATGGTTTGGGGCGCTATTGCCTACGATTCCAGGTCACCTCTAGTTTGTATTCAAGACACTATGACGGCCCAACGATACTTGGATAATGTACTGCGGCCGGTGGCAATCCACTAATGCAATTTTTCAGCAGGATAACGCCCAACCACACAGTGCTTGCATCTGCCAACATGTTCTGCAAGGTATACAGATGCTTCCCTGGCCACCATACTCTCCTGACCTGTCACCAATCGAACATGTGTGGGATGTGATTGGATGCCGTTTGCAGACTCCCCTGCCTCGTTCAGATGACGAACTGTGGCAAATGGTTGAAAGGGAATGGAGATCCATCCCTCAGGACACCATGTGCACTCTTATTGACTCTATACCTAGACGTGTTTCTTTGTGCATCGCTGTCCGCGTCGGTCCTACATTCTACTGAGCTGACGCCGTTCTCGCTCTGCATTCTGACTATCATTTTGAAATAAAGATCACTTATTGCTGCTTTCTGTCTCTGTCTTTTTTCCAAATTTCATCACTTTCTGACCACTCCTTCTTGGCGTTGTATTTTCAAAGTCGAGCAGTGTATGTTGGCCTAAATGTGAAGACAGAAGAGTAACTTGTTTCAATATTTAATTTAATTATTAATTTATTAACATACACAAATAGCTTTTGTGCAGAAAAATAAATTAGGAGATAATTCAAAAACCTCCATTTTATGCCACTTCTTTCCTTAGATGAAAATCAACAAACTGTTTAAAATTAAGGAATGAATAAAATGTGCTTCTTTTATATTTTTAATTTCAAAGAGTTAAATCATTTATTATTCAGCTTATTTTAATAAAATTTATAATTCTTTTAATAAAGTACAAAAATACATATGTTATATAATATCCATATAGATCTTCTCCCCTCACCTTTTAATGGAAGAGAATTTCAGATTTAGTAACAGAAAACAAGAGCTAACAGCAATATTCCGCATCAATAAAGATCTAAATTATTAAACAGCTGTGATAACTGAAGCATTTATAATACTTAAAATCACATTTAATAGATAAACTTTAATATTGCACAATTATTAATGTTTTTGTCTAGAAGTAATACCAAATATACATTTTAAACAGATTTCTCATATGTGAAAAAGATTTTACCTTGTAATAGTACTCCATATTCCATTATTATTGTCATTTTCATCATATAAAAGTTCTTCAAATTGTTTTCCTGGTTTCTTAGACACCTATGTAATTAAATATATAGAGAAAGGCAATTCAGAAATAAAAGTAACATTCAGTATACATTCAAGCAATACACACACTTAAAACAATACCAAAATGAAGAAAGAGTAATCAGGGAAAAGTTCTTTTTAATAGCAATTACAAATTAAAATCAACAGGAGTCAGAGTAATTTTTTTAAACATATAAAGATACAAAATGCTAAACGAGTAATATTTGTTTACATGAAAAATATGAACATAAAGGTAGCCAAATTATTATATCTCAACATAAAAAGAATCAATACAATCTGTTAATTTAATTTTAAATTTAAACATTAACTGCATTTGGCATATGTGAATTGTATATCAGCAATTTTGCAGTTTTTTAAAACAAATTTTTAATTAATTACCAAATTTCAAAAATATTAGCATTTTCTATGGGAGTAACTTTTATACACACAAATGCTTTTCAATAACATTATCACCATTTTATATTAATTTGATTTTCTGTTTGTATTCATAACAGGCCTTGATTTAAAAAAATTAAGTAAGTAAATGAAAGAACAAAAAATTCCATAAGACAAGGAAACAACTGGATTAGATATAAAAAGCTCCTTCCTCTAAGGCACGGAACAGTTCAGAATTACACATTCAAATTTTAAATATAAAAATGAAGTAAACAGCAAAGATCTCAACACTTTTTTCAGAGATAATTATATACAATAATTAACATTAGGCAGAGTAATTACAATTGCATTTTTTACATCACATTCAAATTATACAACACCTGTACTTCAAAAGGGAAGAACTTTTTCTGTAATCATTACACAAAAACCAAAATTTTGTTGATGCTTTATGCAAAAGATGCTTTTGCCAATGCTTTACATTAGTCATTTCAGAATTTTGCCTACTTTCCACAAGTCTGAGATTTCTCTGCTTTGCATGTATGTTATGCAGTTTCCATTTTTTCCATATTATTATTACATTTTGCTAAGCTTACAATGATTACAATAAATCGCACTAGCGTTCCTTCCATTAAGTGTTTAGTTGCAAAATCTGTTTTCCAGTTTTTCATAATTTTACTTAATTTTAGGCAAGTATGTTTATGGTAATTGCCTCACAAACCCTTGCCAACACTTTTGCTCTCAAAATTCATTGATTTTAATGCATTTTTATTATTATTTTAAGAAACAAAACTCTATTACTTCAAAGACTATCCTGCAAAGAATAATAAATAGCAAAGAATTTCTCTCAAGATTTCATCTAATAAAAAAAGTGCATGCTTCCAAAATATAAATAAATAAATTTCAATCACTTACTCTGACTTTAATTATATGACTTCGAAAACTGCTAATAATGATAACTAAATCTGAAGAACCAGGAGGGGTATCTGTATTTTCACTTCTACACAACAGAAGGTACACTTAAATGAGACAAATCTTAAAAATTACACTACATTTATCAGTAATATTAAAACTCAGACAAAATAAAAATTTAAAACTTTATAACCACTACTCAAAATCATGTATTTTCTCAGACAGTTTTTTTATGAGACCATGCAAAGACAATAAAACAGCACAAGAACAAGCTCTTATATTTATATTTCAACAACCATATAACAATCCAGTACAGAACACTTTTAATTATTAAATAGAATTTTAGGAAGTGTTGCAATGCATGCTATTTAAACCTGTGTGACAAATCAATCACGTTTTCCATTATTTAATATCAAAGCTTATTTGGTACTTATACATTAAAATATGATTATTTAGTACTTACATGTATTGCCGCCTAGACAGTATAATAGTTAGGGGAGCCGACTGCGTTACCAAAGGCCCCGGGTTCGAATCCCGGAGAAGGCAATTGTAACTGTCTGTCCCTTTATAGGAGGCAAAGGTGGCCTACCTATTAGGTGCCTGTATAATAAAGTGACCACCATTTCTGGCCTTAGTAGTGGCCAAGCCGAAGTTGGATAAGAGCCCGCCATTGAAGGAGGGGGAGGGAGCTTAAATGTATTTCAGTAGAAGTCACCAAATTTTCATACTCCATTAAATTCTGGCAATCCTGCATGTAACAATTCTTTGATTTTAACAGACATAATTATTTTCAAGAGTGTTCTTTTGTGATATCTAATGATTTATTAAGAATAATCATGATATTTGTTATGAAGTCAATTTTAAAATGGTGCTTATGAGATTTGCCTGATGTTTAAGAAACTGTGGTCAAATGTTTCCACAGATAGAATAATTTACTATAAAATTACAAAAAGGAACAATTAATTTTTGGAATCTGTTTTTATTTCTACCTGAAAAAAAAAAAGTTTGTAAGTAGGCTTATTGATTGATTTTTCAGACATATCCAATTAAAATGTAAAATATGAATAAAATAATATATATGCATGTAATAAAATATTTTGTAATTTAAAGTCATCACTCCTTTTCTCTTTCTTGGCAAATTATGCCACGTAGGTTGTATACTAATACATATTTACCATATATTTAGTACAACACATTTATAAAGTATATATAATATCAAATATTTAGTACAACACATTTATAAAGTATATATAATATCAAATATTTAGTACAACACATTTATAAAGTATATATAGTACCACATATTTATAAAGTATACATAGTACCACATATTTATAAAGTATCATTTTTGACAAGTCAAATAATTTCAAGTCAATATTTTAGTCACAAAAGAATGCAAAATTCTAACTATATTCAATGAGATGGATTTTAATTAGTAAAGAATTCAGCAAGCTATTTTGAAGGCAAATATAATAAAAGGGAATTTCTAAGGCACAAACTTCATGAATCAGGTTTCACAAACCATTCATGCCACGCATTAATCTCTTTTCGCATTCTGACCCAAATTAAACAAGTTCAATTTAAGTAGATTAATTAAATGCATAAACTTCCAGAATAAAAATATTTTATAAGCTCTTTAAAATCTAAATTAATGAACAGAAATGCTAGAGCTATCAAAACAGCTGCCAAAATCTGACAATTTCTAGTATAACATAGATGTAATCTGTTAACTAAATTTCTGTGAAAAGCAATATACATTAAGAGCCAGAATACTAAAGATGTCCCATTTCTTTTACATCAACCAGTCTGCAAGTGATATACAATTATGTAGCAACCAGAAATGGCTTATATAAGGTAATTGCAAATCATGAGTGCAAGGATATCAACATCTTGGAAATGGATAATGTTCTAGTCTTTTCTCATGCAAAAAATTTAGGCTCTGAGTATAATTCTAGTCAGAAAATGATAATGAGCAAAAAAGATGAAAGATGGCTAGCATGAACCTGCTGCAATAACAAAAGGGCAACATCACAGCAAACTGTAGCTCAATACAATTTGGGAGCATTGCAAATCATACCCAAATGCATAACATCAGAGAATTTGCAACAGATGGGGTTTTGATAGAAAACCTTAAAGAATGCTTATGCTATCGCTGGGGGAGGAAGAAAGAAAGAAAAAAGAAAGAAATCATGGCTGCTGTAAGCACTAAAGTAACAAAATTGGACTTCTCATGACTAGAAAAAAATTCTTATTTTAATGAACCTCATATCTTACTCCACCATGCAAATGAAAGAGTCAGAATATGATACAAACTGGTCGAAATCTAGTACCTTTTTACAAAAAGAGAACTCTTCATGCTAGTAGACACTGTATTTGGGATCTAGGAATATTTTCCTGGAGTACAGTAAGTCTTTTGATATGTATGATAGTAATTCTCAGCACCACAGCTTACTTCAGTATTGTTGCCAATCACACATGCTTTCTTGAAGATGCAACCCCCATAGCACAAAATATCCTCAGGATGTCCTACTTAAGTCGCAATATCCCGGGACTTAATTAGGATGTCCTGAGTATGTTGATTCTCAGATGTTCTGAGGACATCGTAATTTAACATCTTGAGGATGTCTTATTTAAATCGCTATGTCCCGGGATATGAGAGGATGTCCTGAAGATGTTGATTCTCAGATATCCTGAGGACTTCACCAATTTCACATCCTGAGGATATTTATACTGCATTGTCTGCAGGACTTTGGTTGTCAAACATTCTGAGGATATTTTTTCTCAAATTTACCAGTTTTAGTTTTTTGACATTGCACATCTGAAACTTGCACATTATTTAATTTTCATATGTATTTTACTCAGTTGTTTCTAAATGCTGTACATTAAAAATATTGATATGATTAATGATTTATTCTTGTTATTTTGTTATTAATTTTAACTACTATTTTTTTCTGACGTTTTTTAAAAATTTATTTAGTCATGAAAAAGTTTTTTTTTTTTTCAATGGATTAGCATTTTCTAGAATATTTGCTAAATTCCAAATAACATATATTTTTTTTTTTATAAAAATGTATAAATTACATGTATAATTACTTACAAATCCTACTATAAATAAATATAGGTAAATTTAGATTTTTTTTTTTTTTTTTTTTTTAATTACAGAAACGAATTTTTTTAAATTAGGGTGTAGAGACATTAGGTATTTTTTTAGAAGCAGGAAAGATGAAAAATTAGCTGCCTTCGCCGGGAATCGAACCATGGACCTCTGGAATTCCGGCCCAGAGTGCACAACCACTATACCACGAAGAAGGCACGCTAGGAAAGCGGGAGCAATACCTTATATTACTCCTCTTTTTAAAGGGCGACTTTTTTTTTTTTCGGGGGACCCAATTGCTAAATTCTGGGTGTGGATATACCTCTTCCAACACCCTTTTAGTTTGGGCGCCACTGTAGAGACATTATAATTTTTTGGAAGCAGGCAAGATGAAAAATATGCAACGCCTTCACCGGGAATAGAACCATGGTCCTCTCAATTATGCCCTGAGCATGCAGACCACTACACCACAAAGGCTCACTAAGAAGGCGGGAGAAATACCTTATAAGGTCAATAACCCCCCAAAAATCAAAAGCAGAAACTGAAATAAATTTAGAACAAAAGTGTATGCAATAAATGTGTAATGAAACTCAAATATTTTTCTAAGTAAATTCAATTTAGTGCTGAAGGTAGGAAGCAAGCAAGATGAAAAATGAGCAATTGCCTTCGCCGGGAATCAACCATGGACCTCTGAAATACCAGACCACCGTGCAGAACCACTACACCTCGAAGGCACTCTAGGAAAGCGGGAGAAATATCTTATAAGGGAAAAAATGTTGTCCCTAATTACAGGATGGAAAACGTTTTTCAATCGTGCGATCTGTTATTGATATTGCATTACAGTTGTGCGATATTTTCACAGTAAAAATAACTCTCCAATGACTATCCAAGATTCTAGAAGCTTTGGTCTTATATAGAGATGGTCATCTTAGAGAAATAATGCTTAATATCAATATTTATTTAGTATCTCAGAACTACTGGCCACTTTCAGAAGTGGTCATTTGAGAGGTGATATTCTATACATTTATTTACTACATGATTATCTCAGATTCCAAAATTTGTTTATATTCTCAGAAATATTGGACAGAAGGTGATCGTCACATACATGCAAAATTTTGCATTTCATTGAAAATTAATTCAGCATTATTTAATTATTTCCCTATTAATTAATTAATCAGATAAAGAAAAATTATGAAATAGTACTGTTTATTACGGAATAATGTGGGAAGTTCTGCAGAACCATATTCTTTCGCATCATTGCAAACAACTTTGTATCTGACAAACTACTAGTTTCTCGTATTCTCCCACAAATCCGTAAACGTTTGTCTGATTTGAAACGAAATCCAAGATGGCTGTGCCATGAGGTTTACTTGTTGTATCGATATTTTTTTGTTGCATGAAAGGTAAGTTCAGTTGCAATACTTGTATGTTTACTTTTTTGCTTTTTGAATTTATGTTATTTATGTTATTTCGACAGTTAAATGTGCTAGCTATCACTGCTTTATAGGTTGTTACCGTTCTATTGTGAATTACATGTATATCTCAAAGGCTGTCTTTTCAAATATCTGATTTGCCCTGCTATCCAAATGTTTACGACTGAATTTTTTTTTTAGTCTAGTTTTTGCATTCAGTCTCAAAATAATATGTGTGATCAGATTGCTTATTATTTTATTGCAGCAATAAATTTATATTAAATAGTTTGAACAATTATATAAGAGTTTGCATTGTTTTGTCCAAAATATGTATGGTTGAAACATTATCTTAATATAGTTTGTAATTCAGTTTTAAAACATGGAGAATTAGAAGTTTTATGTTTTTTTTTTCGGGGGGGGGGAACTGTTCTGTTATTGGAACCAGATTCGGAAATGTATGAACGTGTGTTTGTAAGTATGTGCATAGATGTGTATATGTAGACACATATACATACAAATATACAAGCATACATAAATACATTTCTAAACCCGATCCTGATAACAGAACAGTACCTTTTTTAA